AACGTAGAAGAGATGGTGGCTAACAGGAACCATGATAGATAGGCAAGAATCAGGAGAAGATAATAAAGGCTTCAGCCCAAGAATCAGGAGGTAGTAAGACAGATTGTAGCCCACATGTACAGAGACCATTCTGGGGGAAGGGAGGGCTTCCATTCCTTGCACCTAGCTAGAATAGTTCAGTGCTGCCATTCTGGAACAGACGCCGACGCTCCCTGCAACATCTGGAGATCTTAAGAAGAAGAAGAGACTTTGGGAGCGTTTTTCTTGTAAATAAAATATCTTTATTAAGTGTTGGTCTCGGGATGAGGGGGTTGGTGTGCTTGAAAATGGCTGTTTTATTGTCAGGGGTGCTGGTTTTCAAAATCCCACATTAGGAGAGGATCCAGAGGCCATCCCAGTTGGAGAAAATCCTGCCACAGGTAAGTCAAGCACGTGTGTGTAAGTATCCTTTCTTCTCCAGCTCCACTGGCACTTTGCCTAATGGCACTAGGACTGCCAAAGCAGCACCCCTCCTTAACCGTGCTGCCTGGGGCTGCTGGGAGTTGTAGTACATCTCTAGCTTGGTGCAGCATGGGGATCTTTGCCTGATCCATTCTCCATGCCAGTTTTTGCTGGCTTGGTCACAAGTCATCTTGTGGGGCCTCCTTGCTGGGTGGGCTAGGGCAGCTGCCAAACCAGCAGGGAGAGCACCATAGGTATTCATCTCCGCTGTTGCAACATGGGCTGCGGATGATGGGACTTGGTGGCCAGAGAGAACTCGGATGGGCAAGGCCTCAGCACCTGAGTGTTTGCAATCCTTGTGCAATCAGGAGAAAAGTGACTGGTATATATGGGCAAAAGGGTCTTTTCTGGGCAACTTTAAATGTCCTTGTTTTCCTCACGCCGATTGGGCTAATCCAGCAGTTTCCCCAAAGGAATCTTTCCAGACCAGGAAGATGGTTTTGGTATTCTGGAGGTATCCTGATGCCCCCATCAAGACACTTCCTTTTCTAGGAACTTCTCGAAAACTGTTGCCATAGAGGCAAATTGTGACATGATGGAGGGTCCCTGGATTGCCCATATATATCTCAGTGGAGCTGCAGAAGAAAGATGCACACATGCAGCTGGATGTATATTGTGTATAAGCCAGGGCAGTGTTTTGCAAACTTGGGACTTCAACTCCCAAGTAATTCTGGGAGTTGAAAGCCATCCATCTTAAGGTGGCCAAGTTTGAAAAAGACTGCTCTAAGGTTACCAGATCTGGCCTGCAAACATAGGCTAGGCCACTAGATGGTGCCAAATGGAATTTGCTGCCCTCTAGTGGCTTTTTTTTCTTTTGCAGCCCAGAGCTGGTAACCTTAGTATGGTATACACCTTAATATATGGTAATATGTAGATATATAAACATATACCATATATTAGGGGATATGCCTATTACTGTATGTGCCTGTGTACATTAACACAGTTGCATACAGTCATCTAGGCTAAGATCTATTGGGGCTTCCCTAATAGATCTTAGCCTATATTGCTCTATGTGTCTGTATCTTAACACAGACACATAGAGCAATATAGGCTAAGATCTATTAGGGAAAAAAAGGTCCCAATAGATCTTAGCCTAGATGACTGTATGCAACTGTGTTAATGTACACAGGCACATGCAGTAATAGGGGGGAGGGGGGGTGTCCCAATATAGTGGAATGAACCAGACACTCGTGACTTGACTTTATACATGAATCTGTGTGTGTGGGGAGGTGCTTATGTTTTGGGTTTTTGTGTGATACACCCCTCCCTCTTATCCAAGAAGCTTCTTCAGTTCTGGCTGAATGGTGGGAGATGGAAGGATTTATATTCTTTGCAATCATCTGGTCGTTAGTACTCCAAAGATCAGTCGTTAGCTCTCCGCTGTTGAAGCCACCTGGGAGTTTATCTGTGTCCTCGGAGTCACCTGGACCAGTGTGGAGATGGGCCTGGGACCTTCTTGGGACTGCTGCAAGGACCATGTTGGAGACAGGAGAGGTGGTGTCGTATCCCTCCCCCTCTGTCGATAGAGGCCTATTCGGTTTTAACACAGATGGCCTCTTTGACCCCTCTTTCAAGCCAGGGGTCCTCTCCATCCAGAACATGGACTTTGCTGTCTTCAAGAGTGGCCTTCGTCTCTCAAATGCAGATGGACCGCTGTTCCAAGTGTGCTTTTCCAAGAGGCAACTGGACTTCCTTTGTTTTTCCTTGAAGATGTTTCACTTCTCATCCATCAAGCTTCTTGGATGAGAAGTGAAAGTCTTCAAGAAAAAACAAAGGAAGTCTAGTTGCCTCTTGGAAAAGGACCTTTGGAGCAAACTGACCTGGCTAAGAATCTCCACAGACAGATGAACTGCTGAATCTTGTCCTGATGGGCTTGTTCTCCTATGTTGTGCCATGCGTTCATGAACAAACAACCACAAGCGCATGGCACAACCTAGGAGAACAAACCCATCAGGACAAGATTCATACTTCAATACTGAAGTATACAGAAAACCCACAGAGTGTTTACCTTCACTGGAGCAAAAACACGGAAGCCATCAGAATCCTACACCACTGGGCTGAAGGTTTACCTACCAGCAAAGAGGGGAAAGGACTAAAATACATGAAAGAAGCCCTCAGAACCTGTGGCATCCCAACTGGGCCTTCATCAAATCAAGAAAAAGATCCAGTAGGATCCTTTGTGTCCCCCCACCCCAGTAAGGACAAAGAGAACAACAAACAAAGCAACATTAATCCACACTGCAGGAATATCTGAAAAACTCAGGAGGATTTTCAACTAACTTAACATACATGCACACTTTCAACCCAAAACTACACTAAGGCAGTGTTTCTCAAAACTTTGACAACTTTTAAGATGTGTGGGCTGGCTCCCAGAATTCCTCAGCCAGCATGCTCACTCAGGAATTCTGGGAGCTGAAGTTCACACATCTTAAAAGTTGCCAAGATTGAGAAACTCTGCACTAAGGCAGAAGCTTGTCCACCCCAAGGATAAAACACTCGCACACAAACTGAACAATGCAATATGTGCACTAGAATGTGGTGAGACGTACAGATCTGTACATTGGAGAAACAAAACAAACCACAAATGCATGGCACAACCTAGGAGAACAAACCCATCAGGACAAGATTGATACTTCAATACTGAAGTATATAGAAAACCCACAGAGTGTTTACCTTCACTGGAGCAAAAACACGGAAGCCATCAGAATCCTACACCACTGGGCTGAAGGTTTACCTACCAGCAAAGAGGGAAAAGGACTAAAACACATGGAAGAAGCCCTCAGAACCTGTGGCTATCCCAATTGGGCCTAGACAAATCTAGACAAAGATCCAGTATCTTTGCCCCCCCCCCCCCCCGTCCCCAATAAGGACAAAAAAAACAAATGAAGCAACATCAATCCATAAAATGCAGGAATTATCTGAAAAGCTCAGAAGGATTTTCAACTAACTCACGTGCACACTTTCAACCCCAAAATACACTAAGGCAGTGTTTCTCAAAACCTTGACAACTTTTAAGATGTGTGGACTTCGGCTCCTAGAATTCCTTAGCCAGCATGCTCACTCAGGAATTCTGGGAGCCGAAGTTCACACATCTTAAAAAGTTGCCAAGATTGAGAAACTGCACCCCAAGGATAAAATGTTCACACACAAACTGAACAACGCAGTATGTGCAGTAGAATGTAGTGAGACATGTACAGATCTGTACATTGGAGAAACAAAACAAACCACAATTGCATGGCTTGTTCTCCTAGGAGAACAAGCCCACCAGGACAAGATTTAGCAGTCCATCTGCATTTGAGAGACAAAGGCCACTCTTTCGAAGACAGCAAAGTCCACGTTCTGGATGGAGAGGACCGCTGGTTTGAAAGAGGGGTCAAAGAGGCCATCTGTGTTAAAACCGAACAGGCCTCTCTCAACAGAGGGGGAGGGATACGACACCACTTACCTCCTGTCTCCAACACGGTCCTTGCAGCCCTCCCAAGAAGGTCCCAGGCCCATCTCCACACTGGCCCAGGTGACCCCGAGGATACAGATAAACCCCCAAGTGGCCTCAATGGCCCTCAGAGAGCTAACGACTTACCTTTGGGGTACTAAGGACCAGATGACTGCAAAGAATATAAATCCTTCCATTTCCCCACCATTCAGTCAGAACTGAAGAAGCTTCTTGGATGAGAAGCGAAACGTTGGGGCATGTATATATACATATATACACATGCAGAGACTTGTTGGCATAATTAGTTTATTCCAGGAATAGACCAATTATGTCTCTCTGTGTGGATATATATACATACACATATATGTGCATATTAGCATATTTTAGTAAATAGAACTATCTGTACAAAATGCTAATATGTACATAGAAGAATGCCTATATATATTACTACATAAAAGCTGGTATAGGTAGCCCTTGAGTTAAAACAGTTCATTTAGTGACTATTTGAAGGTGTAACAGCACTGAAGAAAGCTTACAATTGCAACATCCTCATGACATGTGATTAAAGTTCAGAAGCTGACAACTGACTCGTACTTATGACGGTTGCAGTGTCCTGGGATCAGGTGATCGCATTTTGTGACCTGACAAGCGAAGTCAATGGGGAAGCGACATTCGCTTAAGAACTATGTTGCTAACTCAACATTTGCAGTTAACAAATGAAGCAAGAAAAGTCATTAAATTGGGCAAAACTCACTTAACAAAATGCCTCGCTTAGCAACAGAAGCTCTGGACTCAAATGTGGCCATTAAGTCAAGGACTACCTGTAATATATATAGCCATTCGCCCCAAAAGCTAGCTTATCATGGGCACACCCTTATAATGGCACCCCCCCTCATGGGGGGGGGGTCCTTTTGGTGTTTATAACAGCCCAGGAAGCTAGAAATAAAACACATAACAACTGCACAAATATATAAAACACTACAACATTGCATCAAAGCAGAAGTCCTTTTACTGGACACTGGAAGGTTGGTCTTCAACTCAAGACGGGAATCCATGTGGCTGATCCAGATGAGTCTGAACTTCGTGGATCCTTGGCAGTTGTTCCAAGAGACATGTGGCCCTCCCACCCACCCAAACAAGCTCACAGCTATCTCCAAAGCCTCCCACCACCCAGTTGCAGCTACTCCGCCGTCGTCAGTAGCAGAACGCCATGGGTTCCAGCGTCAGGAAGCGGACGTGCATCTTGGTCTCTATGTCGATTCCTTCCCATATCTGGCATCGGAACGAAAGGAAAAACAGAGTTAGAGGAGAAGACAATTTCTGATCTTGCAAATCTTCAGTCGTACTTCAGAAAGGAGCAAATGTTACATTCCAGAATGACTCACAGTTGATTGGCCTTAGATTTTTCCCAAAAAATAGCTGGTGGGAGAGAGATTCGCTCCAAAGGGGAGGCATGGACTCCCCTACCTTTGCTTGGTCCTGCGTGAGGTGGCTTCCTCTTGTGAACCTTTTGCCCACCTCCCTTAAGGAGGACTCTTTTCTGCTTTCCTAACCCTACCACCCTTGTAAAGTTCGTAACACCTTTCTCCAATTTCAAGTTGAATTGAAATAGTCCACTGAGCAAACAGGCACCAGGGTTGTCTACTCCTACAGAGCTGAAGATAGTTGGGATTCCCATCTTCTGTTCTGGCTCCTATGCTTGAGAAGCCACAAGGCCAGGGGCCACGGATGAGAGGCCTGGGGGGCTGAGATTAGGGAAGGCAAGATCTGAAACGCACTAAGCTTGGTCGTTACAGCAGGTCCCTTTTCAATCCCTACATTAAGCATAATCATCCATTATCCTGCTTCGATGTTTGCTCAACCAGGAAGCTCCATGGATATGCTTGAGACAAATCACTATTTAGCTCCAATTATTTTCCTCTGAGTCAAACTTCTGAAGTTTGACCTTTTTCCTAGAACTGACACAAGAGTAGGCCAAGTCAACTAGTACCTTCCATCCATCTTCAAGTTGCCTTGGCCTAAGACGACATGTAGATCTCAATGTAATAATCAGCTTCTTCAGTGCCATTGTGACTTAATCAAAGGACTATCTGTACTCTACCCACATAGCAGTTTTTGCAAGATAGCAAAAGAAAGGATTGAGTGATGTCCAGTGAATTTCCAGCCCTAATCCACCATCTCTCCCCAACGCTGATTATTTGGGAGAGTTTGTATTGGAAAAACCTGACTGGAGATTTTTTCTGTGAATTTGGAAATGAGTATTAAATAAACAAACTGCAGGGGGTTTGCTTGGCAGAGCTGAGTAGAGATACGGGCAGGACGCCAGCCTCGTCTTTCTAAGCCAATAAAAATGCAAAAAGATCGACTCACCTTCAGGAAATCATCAAATGTGATCCCTTCGTAGACTTGATCCGGCTCCTAAGATTAGGAAGGAAAAGAGATTCATTTCAGGAAGGGAAAATAAAAAGGAAATAATCAGACAAAGTAGAAAAGGAAATACGCCCTAACATGCAGGAAATTCGGACAATGAAATTTGAATTAAAATCAGGGATATCTTTATTAGGTCTGATGCCAGGGGATATAAATGAAAATTAAGGCATTAGCTGACAGTGGCAAGAATCACATTGGCACAACATTGGGGAAGGAAAACTGTCCTGTCCGTATAGGATTTGAAGATTAAAATGAAAGAATATACAGCCATGGAAAAACTGTCTGAATATATTCACAGCAGAAGTCTAACCAAATTCACACAGGGGTGCTTTCCTTACACGCAACATATCAAGCTAAAACACCTAAAATGTGGGTTTTGGTGAAAAAGAAACTGTGTATAATAGTAAAAAATGATGCAAACAGAAATGTTCAAAGTATAAAAATATTTAACTAACAATCAGTTAAAATGGCTGGAGGAAAAAGAGAAGGGTATAGAAAGAGAAGGAGCTACCAGAATGCCCGTTTTATAATAGTTTTGAAAAAAACATTCTTTTTAAACTAAATCCTTTAAGTATGTGTAGGTATCTTTTTCTTTGCTTACCTTTTTATTTATTTATTATGTATTAATTCAAATTCTATGGCTCCCGTCTCAAGAAGTTATCGTGAGAACAAAATTAAACATTGCAACAACGCAACAATTACGTTTGCATGTTTTTACTTAACTAATAAAAAATATTGTTTCAAAAAAGCCAAAAATCCAATAGCTGTTTTTTTTTAAGGTTACATCTATTTCAGCCAGAAATAATATTTCAGAACTGTTGTTGAGGTCTTCGTGCTGTTATTTAAACATATTGTTCTATTTGAGGCTGAAGGAATCAACATGCATTAACTCGACTTTTAAGATTTAATATTTTCAGATGTTTCAATTCTTTTGAGATTTATCTCTCGCATGTGGGAGTTGAGATCTGCACAATGGAAATGCATTTATAGCCAAGAGACTTACTGTATTGTTCAGCCCTGGAAAGACAAACATATGGCTGCAACTATTCTGTGGTTTGCACAATTGATGAATATAGATTAGCTGTGAATGTCTGTAATGAATCATCACTTCACTTCCGTTTATGGATATAGACGTTCTGTAAATATATATCCTGCATGTTTTCATTTCTTTTTTTAGCTTGTCCCTTTAGAATTTGGTGTTTTCTTTTTTGTATTTATTTAATTAGAAAAAGGGATAAAAGAGGCTGTATTTTTTTTCTTTACACAAGCCTCCAGGGGGCACTTGGAAGGGGGGGGGAGTCACAAGGGCAATTGCGATCATCCTATCAAAGCCTGCCTGTTTTTTTACATGGGTTGCATGAAGGATTGTGTTAACTTTTATTAATAAAGTTGCTAATATTTCTGCAAAAGTCTTTTTTTATACCATTTGGCCTGTACATTTATAGTCAGGATGACATGACATAAGGAAAAAGAGGCAAGAAGGGAGAAGGAAAACTTAACACACTGGATAACTACTACGTCTCTTAAATTATTCAACCGGTGAGATATCACACGACGAGTATTTTTACTCGAGTGGGTATATGATGGCTCTGCTGCATTCATTTCACTTTTAGCAACAGTTATGTTACAAAAAGCGTTTTTTTTCTATTTATGATACGTATAATACCCCCACCTTTCTCCATGGATTACAAACAAAAAAAGATATTGCAGGGAGGGAAAGAGGGAGGGAGAGATGAAACAGAGAAGAAATATAGAGAGATGGATAGAAAAATGGATAAGAAGGAGAAATATAGATGAGATAAAGAGATGTAAAATGTGAAGCTATAGACAAAAGAGAGATACACAGATGAAAGAGAGAAAAGGTGGATAAAGAAAAGATATAGATGAAATAGAGATGGTTGGATGGGTAGATAGGTAGATGATATAGACAGACAGATAATGAACAAAGAACAAAATAGTAACAGAGGCAGAAAACCTGTCCGGATGTTGCTAAACTACAACTCCCAGCAGCCTCAGGCCAGAGTAAGGGATGCTGAGGGCTGTGGTCCAACAGCATCTGGAAATCTATGTTTGGCACCATCTCTAATTTTCTTCTATCGTGTTCTTGATAAAGATTAGTGAATGAAAGAGGTTGACATGAGGATCAAGATGAATCCCCCTTGAAGGCACCAAAGACCTTAGCCAAGCTCTTCATCGTTTCTCCTCCTCAGGTTTTCCAATATTACTTGGGGGATCTCCATCTTCTGAAATGTTCCATGTAGTTGCTTCTAAAGTTGGCCTGTGTTGTGTCAGACCCGGGCAAAGCTACCCAACCCTTCTGATTTTGGCACTGAAAGCCAGAGTGGAAAGACACACATCTGAGAAAGTCCTCAGTGCATCCTCAGAGCCAACCCAAGGACCCGGGTGATGGTCCTACAAGCAAGGAATTCACGGCTTCCAAACAACATCCTTTGTGTAGCCGTGCAAGCCTGTTGTGTGAAGGTGTGGTATTTTAGAACATCTACATCCCCCGTGGAAGACAACACAATCAAGTATAAAATCCCAGCCATTTGAAAGAGAAATGGCAATAGACCAACATAAGGTTGACCTTGGAGAAGATAGAGATTGTTAGCAAAATGGGGGAATCAGCTTAAGAAACAAGACCACATCAGAATGAAATTTAACTAGGATGGATGGATGGATGGGTGGATGGGTGGGATGGATGAACAAACAAACTAAAGGTGGAGCATCTGTTTGGGCAGGGGTCTTCAAACTTGGCCCTTTGATGACTTGTGGACTTCAACTCCCAGAATTCCTCAGCCAGCATGCCTGGCTGAGGAATTCTGGGAGTTGAAGTCCACAAGTCATCAAAGGGCCAAGTTTGAAGACCCCTGTGTTTGGGGAAAGAACTCTCCCACGCTTGATGGCCAAACTGCAGCCCCTTTTCCTGTTCTTGAGGACCAATCTCAACCTACCATCTGTCCCACGCAGATGCTAGCAGCCTCCATCATGGCTCCATCCGCTATGGATCTCACGGATTCCTTATCCAGGTGGGGGTTTCCTGAGAGCATCTGTTGGACCACCTGGCCAGGAGAAGCAAGTAAAACCGGTTGCAGAAGCAGCAGCAGCAGCAGATCACCGAAAGAGCAACAGGTTGAGTGGAAGGCCAAAGTGATACTTTACATTTCTGTATTCCTGCAAGGTGATCTTCCCATCACTGTCTCCATCGTACATGTGGAAGAGGACTGGAAGATACAAGAGGAAAGAGAAAAAAAAAATAAGCCTGAAAACCAAATGCAAGATAAACATCCATCCTAACTGCTCAACCCACTGAGGTGCAATAAGTAAAACCATCCTGGGTGGATACCCATAAGGCAAGTTTTAGTGCATCTTGGTAGAATGTTATCGTCCCCAAGGTTATGGCCAGAATCCGTAGTATTGTCTGGGATGCTACACATCCTCTTCATGACCTGTTTTCCTTGTTACCTTCTGGGAGGGGGGGGAGGGGCTTTGTGCTATCCGAAGCAGAACATCTAGATTCTGTAATAGTACCATATAGTCCCAATCTTGTTAACTCTCAAAATTCTTTTTTCCCATATGTATTAAAAATATACTGTGATTAATATGTGTGTGTGTGTGTCTGTCTGTGTGTCTGTCTCTGTATGTGCGCGCACGGAAGAGGCCATCAACCTGCAGGATAGATGGATGGATGGATGGATGGATGGAGAGAGCCAGGGAGACAGAAAGATAAAGAGAGATTTTTCAATGCTGTCGTAGCTTTGAACAGCCACTAAATGAACTGTTATTAAGTTGAGGACTCCCTGTACTGTGCTAAACTAGGATCAAACCAGGTCAGGTGTTTTACAGCTCAGGCTAGTAAATCCACCCATATGGATGGATGGAGAGAGCCAGGGAGACAGAAAGATAAAGAGAGAGGCAGGCAGGCAGGCAGGCAGGCAGGCAGAAAGATAGGTAGGTAGGTAGGTAGGTAGGTGGGTGGGTGGGTGGGTGGGTGGGTGGGTGGGTGGATGGATGGATGGATGGATAGATAGATAGATAGATAGATAGATAGATAGATAGATAGATAGATAGATAGATAGATAGATAGATAGATAGATAGANAGGTGGGTGGGTGGGTGGGTGGGTGGGTGGATGGATGGATGGATGGATAGATAGATAGATAGATAGATAGATAGATAGATAGATAGATAGATAGATAGATAGATAGATAGATAGATAGATAGATAGATAGATAGATAGATAGATAGATAGATAGATATAGATAGATAGATAGATAGATAGATAGATAGATAGATAGATAGATAGATAGATAGATAGATAGATAGATATAGTAAAATCAGAAGCGAATAACCAGCAGAAATTCTGGTCCCAAATTAATACCCTTTCTTACAGTTGCTGCCTAAAATACAATGAAACATTGCCCAAATAAGCCCTCTTTCACACACACACACACACACAAACACCCACACACAGATGGGGTTACAAAAAAAGAGGATCCCCCCCCCTCCATTTACATTTCAACTTCTGCTTCCTGGAACGGTCCAGCTGCTCCTCGTCCATATTCAACTCGATGGGGCGGAAGTTGGACATGACGGTCAGGAAGTCTTCAAAGTTGATTTCGTCCACGAAGCCCCCGGAGGCTCCCCGCAGATTCCTGGGGGCAGAGAAGGAGTCAGTGTCCAGTGTGCTGACCGCTTGCCCCCAACGCCGAGCGAGCTTGTAAAAAATCTTAAGACGTAGCTAAAGGTCTACGGAGAGTCTCGGTCTTCCGGATTATCCCAAAGGTGATTTTTTTTTTTCAGGAGGCAACTGGACTTCCTTGTTTTTTCTTTGAAGACGTTTCGCTTCTCGTCCCAGAAGCTTCTTCAGCTCTGGCTGGATGGTGAAGCTGACTCTGACCGGATGGAGCTGAGGAAGCTTCTGGGAGGAGGAGCGAAACGTCTTCAAAGAAAAACAAGAAAGTCCAGTGGCCTCTTTTAAAAAAAACACCTTTGGGATAACTTAGACTTAGCTGCAGAGAGCAGGGAGATGTCTGGCTTATTCTAAGCCCATCATGCGACACCTACTTTTTATTAACAATGGTCACAGTCTGGACCTTGACAAACACCTTCTGGGCAGTTGGTAACACAAACCTAAAGCACAAGTTAGTCCTTGACTTGCAACTGTTTACTGACCGAACGAAGTTACGACAGCACTGAAGGGACTTCTGACCGTTTTTCACACTTATGACCGTTGCAGCCTCCCCGTGGTCACGTAATCAAAATTCAGAGGCTTGGCCACTGACTCGTACTTCTGACGGTTGCAGTGTGCCAGGGGGGTTGTGTGATTTCCCCTTTTGTGACCTTCTGACTAGCAGTGGGGTAGCTGGATCCACTTAACCGCCGTGTTACTAACCTAGTTAACTGCACCGATTCAAACAACAACGGTGGCAGGTAAGGCTGTAAAATGGGGCAAAATTCACTTAACAAAGTGTCTCGCTTACCCACAGAAAGTTTGGGGTCAGTTGTGGTTGTGAGTCAAGGACTACCCATAGAGGTATGTGCCACCAGCTTACAACCTCACAGTTTTATTACATGTGTTCTGTTTTCCTGTTT